TAATAATGATGATGATGATGATGATGATGATGATGATGATGATGATGACGACGACAACGCTATACCTTGACACTGGAGGTACACGTTCATTTAATGGATTTCTTAAATGCCTTTCATGGAAAAGAAGCCGAATCATGAAACTCCATATGGAAGCCCACCTGGACCTGTCTAGTCTACTCAAGAGAGTTTTTCTGAGCAGCCAAGCTCCCTTTTTCAAACCTGTGAGATATTTATATCATATAACCATCTCCAAATTCCACAGAGTGCTAACTTTAGCACACTTCAGCATTCTCCCCACTGTGGTTTTGGAGGCTGATATAAAAAAGTCCCCTATGCACTAAGACAGTGCCCTGTGGACAAGGGCCTGTTGAAACTACAGCCTCTGACCTAACCCTCTGACTTCTTTCCAAGGTAAGAGGTCAGAAAGGCGAACAGATTCTATATGCTTTGAGGCTGTTCTTGGGTGCTGGGGAAAATGCTGTTTTCACACCAGGACAGCCAAGGAAGACTTCAACCTGCCTCACTTGTGGGCTGGTGATGAGATGAAGGCAATATCATGAGGACATGGCAGAAGGAAGATGCTACCAAGGCATGTTTGAGCCATGGTGAGGTTACAAGCTGGGAAAGGTATTGTGGTTAGTCCATCTTAATGTGCCTGGAGCAGAATGTCTTCTCATTATACAATAGCCCAAAGCTAATCTTAAAACTCTGAGTGTAGAGCTTTAAAATAAATTTGAGTTTCTAGCACCATTAAGTCAACCACTCAGTCAATCCAAACGTCCTTTGACTGGCAAAGCAAACTATAGGAACAACAAACTTTTTTTCTTCTTCTCTGATAAATGTCCCACTACTAAAGTTGGCATTGGATTTGGGCACAAATTGCCTTTCAAAATCCTCTACACAATTTGGGGGTGGGGGGGGGAATTGGGTGCTGGTTTCTCCATATCTGTCTAGGGTAGTGTTTCTCAACCTTGGGAACTTTAAGACGTGTGGACTTCAGCTTCCAGAATTCTGGCGGAAACACTGGTCTGGGGAAGAAGAAATTCTCCAATGGTTTCTCAAAAGCAGGATTTCGTGCTCTGCTACCATCTAGGAACTGTAGTATCTCTGCATGCCTTAATATTTTGCTACACTTCCAACAAGTTCCTCCTACCTGATCCGATCACTATCCTTTTTCTTGAGCTCTGCATCTCTCTGCAGCACTCTCATCAGCTTGCCATACTCTTCCTCGGTCAGAAAACTGAGGTCCAGCATCTTCTCCTTGGTGTCCCACAAGCCACTCAAAAGGCTGGCACTTCAGAAGTACAGCTGCAGCAGTGAGCTGGTCATTGACCCTGAGGCTGTCTGGAGGCCAAAGGCACAAGTACCAGCAGCTCAGGCCAGTCTGCCTTGCAGGAGGACCTTTCGGAGGGTCCAGTTGGTGCTCCAAAGCCCAAGTCAGTCCTGCCCCAATTTGACACTCATAGAGCAGATTGGTAGAAAGAGGAAATTGTTTCTCCCAGAAAGTCTTCCCGCTCTCCTTGGTCTGTGTGCAAGTGGGAGGTCTGAAAGTGCGACCAGTTCCCTTGAGTGGTCCAAAATGGGAAATACAGTCAATGGTTAAAGGATGCAGTAGAACATCAGAGAACAAAGTCACTGGCCATTCCAGTATCAGTCGTCTTCAGTCAAAGAAATCTGCTGGACCAGTTCTGTCATGCCTGCAAAGAGAGAGAGGAAGGAAGGAAGGAAGGAAGGAAGGAAGGAAGGGAGGGAG